TGAGGAAGGTTTAGAAATATTACTGGATGATTTAATTCACAAGAACCGTAAAGAAAGGGAACTGATCACCATGCTTTTTTAAAACCTCAAAATTTCTCAGAGCCGATAATTTATAAGCGCGCGAGCACAACTGCAAGTTGCAACAAAAACGCAGTTCAATCCGCGCGATTTTGCTGGAGCAAGAAGTTTAAAAGTACGTTGAGAAATGATTGGAAATCGTTATTTGAAGGACATTTGGTTAGAATTCTACGAAAACAATTAGATTATTCGCTCTCGATTTCTATGTGGTCATAGTTGATATTCGGCCTCATCAACTGGCTCATAGAAATCTAGAGCTCATAATCTAATTGTTGAATAGTGCATTGCCTTTCACGCGATTGCTCTTGTTTTACTTCGTCAACCATAAGAGCAATTGTGGATGATGGGTTCTTCTTAAAAAGCGTTCGTATGTTGATCAGCATTTTCCCACTTGCACGTTGACTCATACATATTGCAAAACACTTTTTCAAAGCTCAACACTCAACTCAGGATCCCGAGTCCTGCTGTACTTTTCAAATTATAGAATATCAACGTTCAATCGAACCTATGATGCTCTTTTTTGTTTGTTTTGTTCTGCTTATCTTAGACCTTATAGAGCTCAAGTCCATAACAGCACCAACAATTTGTACAAGTCAATTAGTGACTTTAATTTCATTTTTATTTTGACTGCTATTTTACAAATAGTTTAAGATACATGAAGACCACTCAATTTCTAGTCTATACAACAGCAATGTGTCCTCTAAATAACCTATTTCTGTTACTGTCCTGAATTCTATAGGGAATTCTCTGCTAATTTAAGGGCCATAGGTGAACGAGCTTTTAACTTTGTCTGCGGGAGTAAACGTTAATCGAAAACAATCAAGGAGACCGAACGCTGTTCAAAAATTCGTCGGTATACAATATATCTCGATTTTCCCTAGTTTATTTTGAAGCGTTCCCCATGACAAGCGGTCCGGTAGCTTATTTCGTCAAGCCTGCACGCGCAGTAAGGAACAAAGACTCGAAGTACGAGATTAGTCATTACTTGCGTGGTTTTTCTCATTTTCTGCGCATGCGTAACCCGTGATCCGCCAAAGTCTTCTAGAAAAGCAAAGAAGCGCTGTAGTCTATTCACGAACCCTTACCCTAGCGCCAAATCTACACCTGTTGATGCCATCTTAGGGTTTATAAAACTAGAAACAAATTGCACCTTGATCAATGTACTTTAGAATCTCTTTCAAATGTGCTAGCCTGTAAACAGGCTCTCTAGTCGAGTATGGGGCGAAGAGAAAGTGTGAAGAAAGAGGATAGAAGAGAGAGAGGACGGGAGACAGAGGAGCCCCTACCCCAGTCACTCCTCGGCCACTTCACTCTCAGTCAGTTCCTTCTCGGCCTTTCCAGCCGCGGCCGGAGCCTGTTCACAGGCTAAAATGTGCAGATAAGCACCGTAAGGTAGTTATATTAAGTCCCTTTATGTTGCACAGTGTAACAAACAAGTGGAACGAGTCAAAGAGATCTCGACTGGTGAACAGCATTTTAAAGGATACTGCTAACGCTGCTGCCAAAATCTACAATAGAGCAGGGGACATGTCAGCCATTTACACAACATTTTCTCCGAAATTAAGTTCTATGAAGAGGGTTTGAATAGGGGGTGTTGCAATCTCAGCTATCAGTTAAATTTTCAGCGATTTCTCAACAGGGAATTTTACAAATTATATATCAGTCAAAAATGCGTCATTTAAAACGTTGAGCGATCCTCAGTTACATGAATCAGTTAATAATACAGCTCATACAGACCCTGGTCGACCCTCATTTAGTAAGATCACCACTTTGCTTCCATTAAAGTGTTCTCTCTTAATGCAAGAATAGGAGCTTCACTAGAATACCTTCACTTTGATTTATTTCCGTTAACCAAACAAAGTTACTTTGCAGGTTGTAGAAATGTTATCAAATTCAAGACAAAATTACGTAACAAAAGTTAACTTGCTTAAAATTGAAGAAGGAGCATTCTCTGTAGATATTACCTGATTATATTAATGTTCTTTGATACAAAAAGCGACAACGCAGTCAAAACGGACGGCGACGGTGTTTCGCAGGCGGGTTTTACTGCTCTATTGCAGATGTATTACTAATGTTTCACTAAATTTCGACCAAAGCATCACATACAACAAAATATTGTACAAAAAGGCGGTGAAAGAAAACAAACAAACAAACAAAACAAACAAAAAACAACCTACAATTGATTGTGCTTACAGCTGAAGTTTAAGTTAAGTGATAACTAGGCAAATAAAACCCAAAATTGCCCTTCACATACATGTACCCTCAGGGGCTTTTTCTTCTGACTTTTTGGGGGTACTTTTCACAATGGCCTAAAATGTCCCTCGTCGCTTGGTCCCTCAAATCAAGTACCTTGGTATGGGCTGAAGGATCAGGAGACAACAAACATTGCACAATCTTAACAGTGAATTCTACATGTATGCTACTAATGATTTAACTACGAAGTGCCTCCAGTCGTGCCTTCATGTCTTCCATTTCGCCTTCATCATCAGATGGAACCATGGCTGCTGCACCTTCATCCTCTCCCTAGAGAAATGGAAAAGAGAAATTTGTCGAGCCTGCATCCCCATCACTGAAGATCAAGTTCTAAAAAATTACTTGAGTTCTTATTATTCGTGGAACCTTAGGAATAACGTTTACTCCTTCACAAGTCGTAAAATGTGCTCAAACCGTTCAGGCAACATTACAATTATAAGGTAGATAGGGCTCTGATTGGCTAATCAGTTCTCTCGCTCAACATTGATGTTGGTGGCATGCTCTCGTAGTACCTCTTGGAGGCCAACAGAGCCTGCTTGCAGGCTTTGTGCTCACCACAACAAGACATTTAACATGGCACCTTGGAAGTTTAACTCAAAATGATTTTGTTTTATTGGACTGGAGTGAATGTGGCAGTATTTATAGTACTACATTTATACAGTA